ATTTGACAGTTAAAACAATGTTAATACCTAAAGGCACTAAGCTTATTGGTTCCTATGATAGTCAAGTGATTATGGACCAAAAGCGTGTTTTAATTGCATGGAATCGTGTACTATTCCACCTTGAATTGTGGCCCAAGGTGTCGACAAAGAAGGCGGTGCTATCTCGTAAGTACACTGAGCATAAAATTAATTTCTGGTTATGCGCATGTGGCATCTCCCTCATATCTGGATCTCTCACTGTTGCTGTCATCATGAACGTAAACAGCTTTTGACAGATCAGACGAGTAGCAAGCATAAGTATTGGATAACATTAATAAACCGACAAAGCACGGCAACACATTTTAAGATGAGCAACCCTGGGAATCAGAGTTTGGCGTGTCCGTAATAGTATTATGTAGTTATTTGCTTGATCAAACATCAAAAACATGATCAACATAAAGGTTGCGTCAGGTTATGTTGACATTTTTCACGTGCACCTGTATTAATACACAGACGCTCCACGCGCACTGGATTTTCGAGATCACCCCGAAAGCCACGCCCTCCTTAGCGACAATATTGGCACAATGCGTATATAGTCGAAATCACGAAAGATGACGATTACGTCATCATTTTAGTCTGTACTAAAGACAAACGTCAGCGATTTGTGAATATTTTTAATGAAGTTTCAGATACGTTAGACAGAGACAAACAGAATTTTATTGTCTAAACAAGCTGTATTGCTAATTTACATGTATCCGATAAAGATAGACCATATTTTCATGTTGCATGATCGATCATATTGAAAGATGAATAGTTAGGTTATGTTAAAGCAGGTTAGGTTGTTTCTAATAATACTTTTTTATTTGGTGCTCCTGTCAATGTATTCTACTCATAACTGTTTTTTTTTTTCATAACAAAAACTCCCCACTAAAATTATTATTAAGGTGTTACTCAAAACCATGAAATAAAATGAAAATAAAAATAATCAGTGAAATAACCTAACTTCGTAAAATCATAATATAAATGTGTCATTATTTTCCTGACATCGTGATTTTATGATCGACGTACGTCCATTGATTACTTCAGTACAATGTATGGTATGACGTAATAGTCATCTTTCGTGATTCTGACTATACGTGTATTTCCGCAAACAGTTTAACCTCCTATCTCTAGTCTTCGTAGTGGAAACCTTGTCACATGTGACATATACAGTGATCAAATTAAGGTTGGTTAACCAGGTTTCATTAGAAGATTGTTGGATCCTGAACCAGCTCTTAAATTGACCAGCTTTTCGTAGCATGTTGATCTTGAAAAATGATGCTGAAAGTGTCACAAAAGTCGGTTGCCTATATGCAGCAAGCTGAATCAAGACTGAACACAAGTATTTGTTCGTTTCTGTCTTGTGGACTGAATCATTGCTTAACATGTTTTACCTGAGAATGACCAACGTACCATTCCAGCATCCAAAGAATTATCCAAATGGAGTGAGATCATCATCTTTGGGAATTTATCATAGATATGCCACTACTCTCCGCGATAATTAGAAACCTACTTTGAAAAGTCTAGTGTCACATAGATGACACTACCCAACTATGTGTTCATATATGCTCATGCAGTTGGCTATTGTAGCATCTATGAGACACTAACCTTGTCAAAGTAAATTTCTAATTATTGCGGAAAGAACAGAAGCCCTCGTATCGCCTTTCATCTCGGATAATTTTCAGATAGGATACCTAAATCAATGATTAAATTCAACTTAGATTCCTTAGTCTCCCCCGAATATACATGTATTTTACAAATTGAAAGCATGTAAGTTAAACGTATATACACGGTACTGAGAATATTCACAGGGTGTGTAATTTTGCATTAAACTTTCAGTGAAATTATCTTTGACTTATTCACCACTTCCTTGCAAATTATCGACGTATTGACGACTCGAGGTTAGTCATGTTCATCGATAGGTGGTATTCAATCTACGTGGAGGACATTATATATTAAGTGAACGATGCGATCTGAAATTTATAAGGGAATGGGGAAGTTTATACATATACATTATCGATTTCTAAAATGATATAGGAGGTACGTGTTTCAACCGACGAATCTTCGGGTCAATGGCTTTGTTTGAACAAAGTAGGAGTAGGCTTCCTGAGAAAACTGATAAAATAAATATTAATGGTATAGACCATTCCTTAGGTTGGCTAGTCCTGTCTATCTTCAATATTGATTAAAGGTGCTATTTCCGCAACATGACTAATTGTATTTTCACCGTGACGTCACTGGTTTATCTAGACATCTAAATACCTACTCTTATGAATATGTATAAGTTGAAAGAAAAGCGTAACTATTCACCCTTCCCTTGAGGCAATAATAATGAAATGGAGGCTCACGGCCACAAAAAAGCTTTGCTGCCTGGGTCATTGAAAAACCATCGTACCAATAATGAAGGACGAATTTTTAATGTAAAAGAGGCCAGACAAATTGCATCGTTTCTAAAGACTATCTCACCGTCAGCACTGGACCTATATCAACGGTAAAAAAGCAAATCAAGCATCATTTGATGCGCAGTAGCTCAGTTGACGCATACAAAATGAAGGCAACATAGACACGGCATTCAAAAGAAAAAAGATTTAAGCTAAATGCCAAACGTAATATCTGTTGTTATTCATTTTGCAACATTTGACCAAACAAGCAGATTTTGTGAAGTGCTAGCACACGCATCTTCAACGTCTTGCGTATAATGACCAACCTCCATATAATTGGCTGATAGTCGTCTAATGCAAATTGTACAATAAGCGAAGAAAGCGACGATATCTCGGTGTGTGACAGCGATAGCTTCCTTCAAGTATTTAAAAGAAACTACATACACTAAACGCTCTTTAAGATACCTTACTTTATAACATTTGAGACAAGATTCACCGCAACAAAATGACATCATAATTTTAGGAGCAAGCTGCAGTTAGTAGTGCCTAGACGCCATCTTGAATAGAACCAAAGCATCCCAACTATTCTCTACACGTACCGGAGGTACGGTGTATCGAATTGCGCTTTGCGCTATTTTATTTGTTATTTTGACCTTCAAATATAGTATTCATGCGTCGATTTTATCATCTCGACGTAAGGGAGGATCTTTAAGAAAATCCCTGTATGACGAGTGGCTTATAGTTACGGACATTAAGGTGCTTAAAGATAAGCCTTTTAGTATGGTTGTTAAAACTGATTGTGAAGCTAACTCGAGGTCAATATTGAGGAAAAAATGTGGCAGATTATAGAGCACTCCGACTAAAATTACTCAGTAGAACCTACATCATAACAGATGCTGGAAGATTTGAAATCATGTTATACCCGAGGATATTCAGAAGATCTAGAAGGATCTGTAGTTTTCAATGCAAGCAATGAGGAAAACATAGATGGCTGCAATGGTCAACCAGATTTTGACCTCGAGTATGAATAATACATACTTTTCAATTCAGGTTCTGGATTCCATTCTAAAATATGCGACTGTTGTTTTATATAATTCTTATATGAGTGCGTCTCAGTGGCGTTTGTTCATTGATTCTTCAAAAACAAGTCTAAAAGCAGTGTTATTGCATAATGGAAATAAGCTTCCGTCTGTACCTCTGGCCCATGCTGCAAATATGAAAGAAACCTATGAAAATATGAAACTTTTACTTGAAAAAATAAATTACAGTATATATTCCTTCAAAATCTGCGGTGATCTTAAAGTTGTTGCACTATTACTTGGACTTCAGCTGGGATATACAAAGTTTTGCTGCTTTTTATGTGAATGGGATAGCCGAGACAGAACTAATCACTATATAAAAAAAACATGGCCTACGCGTGCATCGTTAGTTCCTGGGCAAAAAAACGTAAAGTATTTATCCCTTGTACAGCCAAATAATGTGCTTCTACCACCATTGCATATCAAATTAGGATTAATAAAATATTTTGTGAAGGCAATGGATCGCAATGGGAGTGGATTTTTGTATCTAAAAGAAAATTTCCCTAAAATAAGTGATGCAAAGATAAAAGAGGGTATTTTTGTTGGCCCTCAATTTAGGGAGTTGATAAAAGATTCAAGATTTGAAGAAAATTTAAGCGATTTAGAAACATCTGCATGGAAGGCTTTTAAAAATGTTGTTTCAAATTTTTTGGGTAACCACAAGAGTGACAGCTACAGAGAGTTGGTTAGCGAGCTATTATTGTCATATCAAGCATTGGGTTGCAACATGTCACTTAAGATCCATTTTTTAGACTAGCACCTGGATTTTTTTCCTGACAATTTAGGGGCTGTCAGCGACGAGCACGGTGAGAGGTTCCAGCAGGACATTTCTAATATGGAAAAGCGGTACCAGGGCAAATGGAGCCCAAATATGTTAGCAGATTACTGCTGGACAATTAAAAGGGACCAACCAGAAGCTAAATATTCAAGAAAATCTTAGATTATTAAGTCATTTATAAAAAAAATAACTTTTGATTTACGAGATCTGTGTTTTTTTAATATTTTAAATTACTCAATAGAATAAAATCCTTGTCTAGCAATTTTTTTTAACTGTTTATTTTTTCTTACAATCACCAATTAAAGTAAAAAATATCAAAAAAGTCCATGTGGCGCGACAAAGATAAAATTTTGTTGACCAGTGTAATTTACAAAAAGAATATTTCTTCAATGTATTCTTGATTTTGCATCACATGACCAGGTAACATTTATGAGCGTTGGTCATTGAATAGAAGGAAGAATAAGTTTCTAGAAAATACAACTTGACAGAGCGTGATTTTATTTCACTAGATTGCAGGCATAAGAGTACTTGAGGAAATGGCTACATAAATTTCTAATATCAGTTCCTACTTAAAAAACAAAGATTAGTCAACACAATCGTCCCATTGTTTTCAACGTATTGCTGGTTTTTTCATACTTCTGGAGCAAAGCTTTTTGTCGCTTGGTCAAGTCATGCCAAACGCGGTCCACTCCTTCGAGGATATGCCGTTTTATGAACTAATTACAAATGTTTACATTTTTTCAGCAATCTGCTCTCCTTCGTGTCACAAGGAACGTGGATATTGCAGAAAACCAGGCGAATGCAGGTAACAATAACCAATTTTTATGCGGTAGAAAGATTTCCCCTAAAACTAACGATTTAACACCGTCTATTCACGAGAGCGGGTTACGTATAATAGCCTTTAAATTATAATCACGGAGAACGAATTTTTCTCTAATAATGCGCTGGAATAAATGGGAAAAAAGCTTAAATCCTATTATTGCCAATCGGGTAAAAGCATCAATCGATGGCAAGAAGATTAAATTCTAGAATAATGGACTTGTAAAGTATAGGATATTACGGTTTTTATGCCCGTCACTTATAATCTTTTGGAGTAGTCATCGTGTAACATACACTCGGACTGGGAAAAATCTATACAGGGTGTCCCAAAAAAAGTGTGCAATATTCTACCAGCGGTAAAAAATTTGTCACATGATAGGAAATGTACTGCGAATTTAAATGAATTGTTGAATAATTAGCCATGGCAACGAAAAAACTAATTTAATTATTGGTAAATATTACATAAATACATATTTCTATTGCAAAGAAATAATTTTTTTCTACGAACGAAATTGAAATTTGTTTAAAAAAGAAGACATAAAGTTCGATATACTTAAAACTAGCTTTGCAATAAGTGTTCAAATAAATTCCCATTTTGTTGGATACAGAGTCTCGCTCGACGAACTAATGATTGCGTAGCCCGAAAAGTGAGAAACCTTTTTCTTCTTATTCATTTGCAGCCTGATGGATTCTTTGAAGTAAATCTTCTTGGATGTTTACTACAGTCGAGTAAACTAGGTCCCTTAATGACCCCCAAAAATAGAAATCCAATGGATTTAGGTGAGGTGAACGTGGCAGCCACGCTTTAGGACCTCCTCGGCCTAACCACCTGTCTGGAAAATTGACATTCAACCAATTTCGAACATTGCGTCCAAAATGTGTAGGGGCGCCATCGTGTTGAAAAAACATATTTTCTTGAAACTGCTGGCGCACATCCAATGGTAGTATATCCATGAGCTCATTCTGAAGAAAGTTCAGATACCCCTCTGAATTAAGACGATTGGGAAGTACAATAGGCCCAATTACTTGATCCCCAATTACTCCTGCCCATAAGTTCAATGAACATCTATCTTGGCAATTTGTACGGCGAACAACTTTTGGATTTTCATCTGACCAGTGATGCATGTTATGGAAATTAAAAGCACCATTCCTAGTAAATATTGACTCATTCGACCATAATATTCTAGGAATAGTATTTTCATTTGCTAATATCTACTGGCAAAACTCGATTCGTAGTAAAAAATCTGCCTCCGTTAAATGCTGCACCCATTTAGAATGATAAGGATGTAATCCTTGCATTCTTGTCATTCTTCCTATCTAAAATTATTATTTTTAGGATTACTAACAAATAGGTATTCATAAATTTTTCTTACTATTGATCGAGGTATATCCATAATTTTTGAAACATTTCGTATGCTTATTTCCGAATTATTTTCAAACATATTTAAAACAATATCCATACGATGATTTCCCAGTGGCCTTCCTGAGCCCTGCATGCGCTAAAAGCTTCCATGGTTTGACAAAAATCCGGTGAATATCTGTAAACATTCGACGTCCAGGTACTATGCGATTGGGAAATCTTCTTTGATATTCTCTTACAGCTGCCAATGAACTGCGATTGCCAAAGCCGTACACAAAATGCGTGTCAGCCAGTTCTCTGTCTGTAAATCTTTTTATTTTAAATCGATTTAATAAAAATTTTGATTTTAATCTAGTAATTTTACACTGCTAAAAATGTCAGCTTAACGTCAAAATAAGTCATAACAAATCAAAACAACTTTTGTTTGCAGTCATGGCTAGCTATGTATAATCAACAATTCATTCAAATTCGCAGTGCATTTCCTATCATGTGACAAATTTTTTAGTTTGACTTTATTCAAAAGTGGCACAATTTATCAATATTCGATAAGAGTACTTTTTTATGTAGAAAACCCTAAATTTTCAAATTCTAAAATTGAATTTCAAAAATAGAATCACACAAAAATATTTTGGGGCTAAAATATCCTGAGTCCGTCCCTGTTACATATGCTTCCAAACTAAACTGTCTAAAATTGTTAATATTTTTATATCCAGCATAAAAAACTAGGCTAGAATTCCAAATTGTATGTGATTATCTCAACACGTTTCGGAAATATTAAGCAAAAACCATCTTCAGGGGAGCCCCTTTAAAAGACCGTAGCGCCCTTAGGGGACATTTGTCGACATGTTTACATAAACTTTTCTTCCTGTTTTAAGCTCTAGAAACCGCTGGTAGAAGATTGCACACTTTTTTCGGGACACCTGTATATCTGATCAGGCACAGATCCAGGTTTGACTCGGAGGAGAATCCTCTAAAGCTAAACAAAACACTTTTAATCTTCCTAACATGGACAACCGAAAGCCATGTTCTTATTTTGTGTTCATTGTAAAGTTTTATTTGATTATTTGCTGTACTCAATACTTCTTGTCTTTAATGACGTATTTATTACAGGTGCAAGGTTGGGTGGTGGGGAAACAATTGTGAGAAATGTTTTCCTTATCCTGGATGTGTCCATGGAACATGTAGGCGACCATGGGAATGCAACTGTCAGAAGGGTTGGGGAGGAATGCTTTGCGATGAAGGTAAGTTTTGAGACCCAAATAAATGATACTGGCATGTATAAGTAGTTCGTTAACCGCCCTGTTATTGACACCTTCCTTTGTGCAAGAAACTACCACTATAAGGGACGTACTATGTATCATAATAAAATGTTTTTATTGGGCGAAGTTTATCATAAGCTATTCTACCACTTAAGAGTTGCATAAGCTCAGGTATAGGTAAGAGTATCTGTTCGCTCTTTGTCACTGTTACGTATCGTATTCAACGTTTTTTAATGCTTTTAACCAATCATAAGTACGGTACAGGTCTAGTCACTTGAACAGGTTACAGAAAACAAAATATCGAATAAGTGGCAGTGTCACTTCCTAACGCGTTAGATGCTGAGTTTCTTAGTGGACGCATATCTACCTATTTGCTGCCTTTTTTCTACCTGCATGACTAGATCCATGCCGTACTGTTACTGAAAAGTATGAAAGAACGCTGTCTTTCGTTACAGGGACAGAAACATATCCTCTTCTGCCAAGCTCGTAGGTACTTTTCAAAGAAACACCACTTTTTCTTTATTTTTCTTCTACCCTGAACAGGACTAAAGCATTGTTGATGACTAAACTGACCTAAACTAGCGTCCCAACAGTTTTGTCCGTCATTGTACCTACAAGCTTATATACAGGGTGTTTCAGTTTATTGTTGCATAACTTTAAGATTCGATAGAACTTTTAAAATGAATGCATAAAGTCTATATAAACATGGGTCGAAAAATGTGGGGCTTCCGAAATACAGGGTGTTGAATTTACTTTCTAAAATAGTTTTTTTTAAATATTTCGAACAATATTTGATGTATAACAGTGAAAATTGGCATACAAGGGTTTTTTGGTACGACAAAACGAACCATGGGCATAGTTTTACTGTGGCCGCTAGAGGGCGCTCTCTACTGTACCTGCAGTGTATTAAAATAACCGAAAATTTTTTCTTAGTGCAATTTTTTGCTTTTTGAATAAAAAACTGATTCTTCGCACTTTTCAACATAAAAAAGATCTCTTGTGAATTTTCGTTATAGTTAGCCGTTTTTGAGATATTTCGATTTCTAAGGTTCGATGCATTTTTAATTATTTATGAAAAAATAACGTTAAAAAGTCAGTATCTCGATAATTTTTAGAAGTAGGCTGTGCCTGCAAATATTTTTGAAATTGAAAGCAGAATAAGGTTAAACGTCAATCAGTTGACAGTTAGTTTTGTTGTCTGTTGAAACCTGCAATTGTGAATGCACGAAATTTAGTTTCTTTTACCTGTTTTTTTTGTAAGTTTTATAAAGATGCCATTTTTATTCTCCAATCAAGAGTTAGCGGATATTCATTTTGTGTATGGCTTTGTAAACGGAAACGCAGCAGGAGCAGCCAGAGAATACGCACGAAGATTTCCTAACAGACGACATCCAACTCGCTCAGTATTTGTAAGAGTGCATGGCCAAATAATTGAAAATGGTTTTGGAAATCTCCAAAGGGATCAAAACATAAATGTTCGTCAACGCAGATTTACCCGTATGATTAGGCGTGAGTTTGATAGAGATCCAACCACAAGTGTTAGGAGAGTTTCTGGTGCCTTGGGAATTTCAGCAAGCCATGTTCACCGTGTTCTTAGAAATGACCATAGACGTCCTTACCATTTGCAACCTGTGCAAGGACTACAGCCAGGGGACGGAGAACGAAGAATCACATTTTGTCAGTGGATTCTTGATAGAACTGATAATAAGAGTGTTTAAGTAACGTTCTATGGACCGATGAGTCATGCTTCACTAGACGTGGAGTGGTAAATTTTCATAATCAACATATTTGGTCGCATGAAAATCCGCATGCAGTTCGGGAAAGAAATTTTCAGCATGAATTTAGTGTGAACGTGTGGATTGGACCCTACCTTTTGCCTGCAAGGTTAAATGCTGCGACCTTCTTGGAATTTTTAAAGGCTGAACATGCAAATATGTGGGATGATGTTATGTTAGATTTAAGAAGATTGGCCTGGTTCCAGCTTGATGGTTGTCCAGCTCATTATTCGAGAAAAGTTAGAAACTGGCTGGAAGAAAATTATAAAGAAAGATGGATCGTCCGTGGAGGACCAGTTGCCTGGCCTCCACGATCCCCTGACCTAAATCCATCAGATTTCTTTGTGTGGGGATTTCTAAAAGAAAAAGTGTACCAGACTCCCGTAACCACAAGAGATATGCTAATAGACTGAATCAGGAATGCATGTGATGAAATAAGGCCTTATTTGAATAATGCTTTACCACGTTCGATCATTCGTAGATGTGAATTGTGGTTTGAACAATTGGGCTTACATTTCGAGCAACTACTTTAGATTTTGTATGTTTGTCCTAACTATCCAATAGCATTTTAGTTGTAAATAATTAATTTAATTTGTTAAAAATAGTATTGGAAAATTAAACAAATTAATATTGTTTTTTTGTGTTTATTTGGAGTTAGGAATTATTGCTGTGTTTAAAAACACAATCTAAACGACCATCTTAATTACTTGTTAGGCCCAAATCGAAAATGTAAAAAAATATTATTTTCCCATAAATAATTAAAAATGTATCGAACATTAAATATCGAAATATCTCAAAAACGGCTAACTATAACGAAAACTCACAGGAGAGCTTTTTTATGTTGAAATGTGCGAAGAATCAGTTTTTTTATTCAAAAATCAAAAAATTGCACTAAGAAAAACTTTTCTGACATTTTAATACACTACAGGTACAGTAGAGAGCGCCCTCTAGCGGCTACAGTAAAACTATGCCCATGGTTCGTTTTGTTATACCAAAAAACCCTTGTATACCAATTTTCACTGTTATACATCAAATATTGTTCGAAATATTTAAAAAAAACTATTTTAGAAAGTAAATCAAAACACCTTGTATTTCGGAAGCCACGCATTTTTCGACCCGTGTTTATATAGACTTTATGCATCAGTTTTAAAAGTTCCATCGAATCTTAAAGTTATGTAACAATAAACTGAAACACCCTGTATAAACTGTTATACGCTGACATCTTCCAGAGCTGAACTACTGCGAAAACAACCCAGATACCTGCAAGAACGGTGCCAAATGCGTATCGATCCCTAAAGACGATGGCAGTTTCCGGTGCCTTTGCAGAGAGGGCACTTCCGGCCGCCATTGCGAGCACTCCGACCTTCAGACGCCCAGACCTCACCCAACGTCAAGACCCACAACCGTGTCCAATGCGACGGAGCTATTTTCGGAGCTGACGACTTCGGCGTACACGACTGAGAGCGCTGCAAGAGACAATGCAACCACTACAACTTTGAAGTCTGTACTGGAAGGTGCGGAAGAGAAACCGTCTGATAACGAGACGTAAAATGTGACATATGCTGTGGAATAATAGGGAAATATGATAACAGCGTATGTCGTTATCGGTTTACTTCAGCAGATCTAGCGTTTAGCCCAAGCATCTATATATATGGACGCAGGAAAGTAAACGCATATTAAAACAAGAAAGATTGATATTCAAATCAAGTTGGGTACTTTATTTTGAAGGTTCATTTATACCATTTATGTATGAAAAATAATATCGCTCAAATGTTCACCACGACTAGATTTACAGACGTCCACGCGATGGTCGAAATTTTCAATGACATTTTGCAACATGGTCGGTTTTATGGCATTTATCTCGGCAATGATGTTGTTTTTGAGTTCTTGGAGGGTGGCTGGTTTGTTAACGTAGACTTTGCTTTTCAAATATCCCCATACAAAGAAGTCCAAGGGAGTCAAATCGCACGATCTTGGTGGCCATGGCACATTTCCGTCTGCGCTAAATCACGCGATCACCGAAGAAGGACTGCAATCGACGGATATTGACGTTGGTTGTGTGGCATGTTGCACCGTCTTGTTGGAAGTAAACATCGTCCATATCCATTCCTTCAAGTTGCGGCAAAAAATAGTCCTCTATCATCACGTGATATCGCTCAGAATTGACGGTAACGGCGTCCCCGGCCGCATTTTCGAAAAAGTAAGGTCCGATGATGCCTTTTGACCACAATGTACACCACACAGTCACTTTTTGAGGATGCATCGGCTGCTCTTGATACTCACGGGGATTTTCGTTCGCACAGATGCGGCAGTTTTGCTTGTTTACGGTATCATTCAAAGTGAAATGCGCTTCGTCGCTTGATGAAAAATTGGCATCAATTTTGCGGTGTTCAAGGAGCCAGAACGTTCGGCGCGAAACATGGTCGGCCCGACGCAGCTCTTGCGTCAATTGGATCTTGTAGGCGTGTACATTCAAATCCTTGTGGAGAATGCGGACCAAACTGGTTCTCGAAATGCCCAATTCTTGGGATCGACGCGTTGTTGATTGTTTCGGATCGTCTCTCACACTCTCCTTCACAACAGCAATATTTTCCGGTGTGCGAACGCTCCTTGGCCGGCCAGAGCCTGGCAGATTTGCCACAGAACCTGTTGCCTCGAATTTACGCACCAGACGACCGATGGTTGTTTCGTTTGGGCGGTTGTTGCGACCGAAATGTTCACGAAGCGCGCGAAACGTGTTTTTTATTTTTGCACCAATTTTGTAGTGCTCTTGAATAACTTTAATGCGGTCTTCAATCGAATACGACTCCATAGCGATCAATGGTGAACATTCAACTAACAAAATGACATGTCGGTGACAGAAAGATGGCGTCTATGTCAAATTGACGTTTACTTTCCTGCGTCCCTATTGGAAAACCCTTACTTGGTGTGTCAAATTTGTCTATCGCCATTTTGATCTCGCAAACGCTGCCTATTCAGGTAAAAATCGAAAATGGTACTTAGAAAGCTTAACGATTCTACAGATTCCCAGAGATTCCAAAATAAATTGCACATTAGCATTAGCACCGTTTCTCTTCTAGCCATAGCTAGACTTCACGTCTATTGACCGCATTCATCTACCTTATTTTTCTTGTGGATCAAATTCCGGTTTCTAAAATGTTAGAACTATAAAGCTATTATTATTTCATACAGAGAATTTCCTAGGTGATCCTTGAAGCTGTAAAGTAGTCACTTATTTCACAGTACCTTCAGTCATTCCTAAAGACTTATCACATTATGTCTCTAAAAAAGCAATCTTCCTATAGTTGGTATCAGCAAGAGAACATGATCATAAGGCTGAGCTCTCTTTTCGCTCTTATCGTTATTAAACGGTAATAACGAAAACATTCGAAACGGTATAATTTCAAGAAACTGGTAGAGACATTTTGGAGTAAGTAAAACCTTCAACGTACTACCGGCTGCTAAATATATTTTGTATCAGTTATATCTAAACCAGTGCACACTTCTTGAATTTAAATGATATTAATTCACCTCTGTTCATATTTTTTTTCCTGCATAGTTTCTCCGTATCTACGACATCCGGATGTGTGAACGACACCTATAAATGTATTTCTTCTGAATATTAGTATGAATAGAACAATAGACTGGCTCACTATGATAGGCAACCTGTTGTTCATCAACTGCGCAGTGTAGGTTGATTTTATAATACAGTATCATTAGAGCTAGCCTTATAGCTTCAATTAGTCAACATCCATCAAACCTCGATTCTTGTACCACCAGAGCAGCAGCAGATGAATTATTTTTCAACATCGGAATGTTTCTCACACAAGTTGTGCCACAGAAATTGCCACTGTTTGCTCAGTGCAGATGTACCAGTTTATTATTTAAAGTAACTTTATAGCATCTTCAGTAACACTAAATAATAAACTAGAAATGGCCTAGATGTTTTATAAACCATACTTTTTACGACTGAGGATTTTAGCATTATATATTTATTCATATTTATCTTATTTATTCGTATATTTATTTAATAATGTTTATATTGAAGTGGATGTTTCTAATATATTCATGTTCTCTGTATTATATTTATTGTTTCCGTCATAACTGGACTAATCTCTTATGACGTTTCTCATTACTACAGTATATTCAGATAAGAGATAGACCGGATGTAAACAAAAGGTTCGGGTGATTTTCACGCTAACGCTGCCGTCTCGACGTAAAACAGGAGCCCTCATTGGTCAATTCGCAATTAAATGCATATGCCGAGCGGCAGAGCAGTCGTATCAAGGCAGAGTCACATTCAGGTTCAGACGTGTTACGTATGTCGTGTGCATCATTGCAATTTGATATTTCTTTGGACGTTTTCGTTATGTTATCTTATTAAGTTGTTGAGTTTGTCGTTGTTATTGTTATACCTTGTTATTGATTGTTATTGTTATCAACTGCTTGCGCAAAATGCCCAGTAGTACAGATACTGCCGATGAAGTTGTAAACTCCTGTAGTCCACCTAGGAAACGCTCTAAAAAAAGACACCTGAGTGCAGAAATGAAAGAGGTCATTTTGAATATATATAAGATCGAGCGCGAGGAGAACGAGGCATCAACCATCAAAGAAATAGTTGTGAAGGTTTCTCACAAAGTTGGGGTGTGTCGCGCATCAGTGTTTAATGTGTTAAGACAATACAAAAAAAATCACACCTTTTCTGAGCCAATGACCAGTAAACATCGCAAAAGTATTGTTAAATCATTGGATGAAGCTGATAAGGGTGCGATTAGGAGGAAAGTGCATGAATTCTTCTTTAGGAATGAAATACCTACTATAGATAAAGTGCAGGAGGTAAATGGAGATACAACGTTGCCAAATTTCAAACGATCAACTTTCCATGCGTTACTGAAGCATTTAAATTTCAAATGGAAAAAACGGGGTCGTAATAGTTTACTACTGGATAGAGAAGAAATTGTGCTATGGAGGAGGGATTATTTAACAAAAATTGGGAAATATAGAAATCAAAACAGGAAGATTTATTACCTTGATGAAACGTGGGTAAACGCAGGACACATTACAAGTAAAGTATGGGTTGATGATTCTGTAACTTCATCCAGGAGGGCCTTTCTAGATGGACTGTCCACCGGATTAAAAAATCCAGCAGGTAAATACGAGTAACAGACAACAATCGGATGTTTTTCAAACCTTGGGAACAAGGTTCTAAACATTAAATCCAGGGGGCAGATAAAACATATTACAAGTAACAAAACTTTTATAACTTTCGATAAAATGCGTGGATGTTTTATTGTCATTTTCATTTGTTAGAACTTTTTTAAGCCATGTTTTTATGTGTTTTCGATATTTCAATAATTTTTTAATATAATCTTAAAATATGTCGAATATTATAAACTTAAAAAAAGTTACTAAGTTTTATATTGTGTACCGTTCCTAATATTTCTAATCATTTTAATTCATACTTTAAGCTTTATAAAGTTATAATTTGTTAATATTAATATTTGCGCGTGTTTCAGGTTCCTGATCATTCATTTTTTAAAGGTTTATAACTTTAAATTAAATTGTGAAGCGCTGAGTAATCATACGACGTTCAATATTCTTTCTTTCAATATGACTAAATAGTCCCAATTATAGCAATCTGATACTCATGTCTCAATGTTTTTTCGCTGAATGTGATGAAAACATTTGAAAAAGGTTCGCTTATTGAAATAAATCTACACCAGTTAGTACTTCGATTTCCAGGTAAAGGGAAAAGGCTCATTATCTGCCATATTGGCAGTGAAGATGGATTTGTTGTTGACGGTCTGTGGTGCTTTGAGTCTAAGAAAACTGGAGATTACCACGAGGAAATGAATGGCGAATCGTTTGAACAGTGGTTTTCAAAAATTTTACCGAACTTAGAGGAAAACGCAGTAATTGTGTTGGATAATGCGCCTTATCATTCTCGAAGAATGGAGAAGGTCCCAACAACGGCTTCAAGGAAAGTTGATGTTCAAAATTGGCTCCGCTCGAAAAATATCAACTTTGAAGAAGCAATGCTGAAAGTACAATTATTAAGAATTGTCAAGGATCACAAGGCGGAATATCAAAAATACGCCATTGACGAAATGGCAGCAAGTCAAAATAAAACTGTGCTCCGTTTACCTCCATACCATTGCGAGCTCAATCTCATAAAGCTCATATGGGCAGAGGTTAAAAATTATATAGCTAAGCTCAATACAACTTTTAAATTTTGTGACCTCAAAGGACTTTTCAAAGAAGCACTAGAATTAATAACAGCGCAAAAATGGGAAAACTGTATTAAGCACGTGAAAGACAAAGTTGAAAAGAGAATGTGGGAACTGGACAATATTTTAGAGGAACAAGTCGAGCCATTCATTATTGACGTTGGTGCTTCAGGCAGTAGCGATGATGAAAGCTCATCAAGCTCATCTTTCCAATAAAAGATGTCGTTCATCAAATTCGGTAAGTTATAAGTAATTATAAAGCTACTGTATTTTTTAATTAATTATTGACATTTTTGGACCCATTTTGGCAAAACCTATTCAA